CTTGTTTTTAAAAGTAATAAAGATGGGATATAAGTAAACAAATACCCAGCATGGAAACAAGTTGCTTCTGTCATCTTTAGGGATATTTGCAGCTAACTCATTGAATTTGCAAACAGGTGTGGCTTACTGGATTCCCAAGTGCTAACCAGAATCTGCCTGTTTAACAGTCACCTGATCATAGATCTGGGCATAGCCCTGTGCCTAGTACACATTTATTTTGTTCATCCAAAGTATTTCTAATCTATCTCTACATTAGGCATTCAGGTCTTTTTGTAGTTAATAATTAAGGTCTAGTTCAAAGATTTGAAACTCTTAAACAGAAATGGTTTTCGATTTTCTGGACATCAAAGACGCTTGGGGTACTTCCAGACACAAAACCACCATAGCAGAGAAGCTGAAATGGAAGAAATATCTCAGCCCAAGTTCTTCCAGCCTTCAGTCACAAACTTTCTTAAAGAAATATAAGCAGGGGCCTTTTAATCTGAAGACATTTTTCTTAGCCTAACAGCACTCTTATTTCTGAAAAATAGGCTTGTTGTAATTAACCTGGAAGATAGTCATAATTTACTTTTTGTCATTTTAATTTTACTCATTCTAAGAGACTTTCTTTGTTCAGTTGCAATTCTGTTGATTTTGTTTACCTCTCATGGGGAAGTAATTTCTAGGTCATACTGTAATTAAAGATTTGTTTGCTGTTTCCTTTATAGTTTATTTATAACAACCCAATTCTGGTCTTAAACCAAATCAGTAATCTTTAAATCAGGGTTGTCCAACCTTGGCAGCTTTTAGACCTGTGAATTTCAACTCCCAGAATCCCCAGCCATCCATGCTGGCTGGGAAATTCTGGGAGTTGAAGTCCACAAGTCTTAAAGTTGCCAAGATTGGACACTTAAACATTAGATGAAGACTATGGATCACATCATTCCCACCCATAACAATCAGGGATATTTTGGAGGTGGTGTCCAGCATAAAAGGAAAAAAACAGGTTAAGAAATCCTTCTTTGCCTTACAAAAATAAGTATTTTATTCCACAGCTGGAGGAAAATGCTCAAATCAAAGATAATTTTCATCCTGGTGCTTTCCAGACATATTATATTATAGATCCTATCATCCATAACCAGCAGAATTATGAACCTGGGGTGACAGCTAAGGAATCCATTTGTCATAGGCAGGTGAAGTTTAAACTGAAAGCAGTTGTTAAAGCTAAATGGCACTAATAATACTAATATTAGACATTTTTTTGTCAATTTACATCCCCAGATTTCAGCACACACACATACAAATTAGAAAGTCAATTATAGCAAGAACAGCTAAACCTATTTTGGTGGAATGACATTTACTCATAGTAATTGGGTGGACCCTTTTATTTCCTCAATATCCTTGGTCATTTCCACAGAAGAGACTCCACCTTTCCCATAGTTATTGTTAGCCTCCCTCCCCCCATATTCACAGCTGAATAAGAAACCTGGTTGAGAACTGTTACTATAGCAGCTTAGCCTACTTCTCATTGAGGTGATTAACTAATATTACAGATGCGAGCCTGCGTGAAGTTCCAGATCTCAACATTTTTAACTAGTCAATAAGGCATTCCTGAGAAAACCAGCTACCCTCTCCTGCACCACTATTAAACAAGACAATAACACAAAAGCAGAACATTAGAAGCAAACCATTGTATTGCAAGCAGTTTTCTTTTCTCCTCCAAAAAGAATGGGACACAAAATGTCCCGAGATATAAATTACCTACAATGTCCTTTCATTCAGTCATCCGTTTCAGAACTAGTAAAATGGCAAATGGGCACATTAAAACAACTCATTTACCTAATCATACTTCTTTTAAAAAAGTAACCCTCCACAATATCAAAATCTTAGTACAGCTTTCCCCACACAGTTGCTGCCCAGATGTTTTAGATTACAAACTCTACCATTCCCAGCCAATTTGTCCATTAGCATGGTGGAATAAGATTTCTGGACATGATCTGGGATCCCACGTGGTTTCCATGATATTCCACCTTTAACGGAAGCAGCAACCATCCAACTTTTCTTTCTTTCCTGATGTTAGGGAAGAGTATAAGCAAATCATTAGCTCAATTTGAAATAGAAAACATTTTGCTTCTATTAAATTATTTCTTTCCATTAAGGTATTCCATGAATAGACGTGCTAGAATGAAAAATATGCTATGTTGTTGTTGTTAATTGCGAAGTCGTGTCCGACCCATCGCGACCCCATAGACAACATTCCTACAGGTCTTCCTGTCCTCTACCATCTTCTGGAGTCCATTTAAGTTCACACCTACTGCTTCAGTGACTCCATCCAGCCACCTCATTCTCTGTACTTCTGGTAGTTCTCGATCCACATACTGCTGGAGTCTAGCTTGTAGGATGCTATACCGCTTTCTTTTTCTATCTAAAAGCAAAGACAGCAATTAGATACATAGTTTACAACTTTTTGTTCTATAGTGATAGAAATTATTTTACAAACATTACATAAGCAGCCAGCTACACATATTCAATATTCTAAGACTTAAAATCTCTTATGGTTCTTATGGTTGTCATTAATTTTTCAATCTAATTACACCCTCAATGACAGTCTGGCATAGAAAGATGCAGAGAAGGGAAGGAAGCTTAGGAAGGAAAATAGTGAAGCTAAAATGTTATTTTGTAAGTAATGTGTCTAACTTCAGGATATGAGTTATGAAGAGGGAAAATAAAAGTATATGGGGCTAATCTACCTTGACTGTCAATGAAAATTATTACTCTCTCAAATCTGAGTTAATTTCAATGGCACAGATTATATTGAAATCATTGAATCTTGGGCCATGACTAACTTATAACCCTTATTAGTCTCTTCTGTCTGCACTTTTTCCCCATAATTTTTACTGAAAGTTTTTAAAATAGAAAAAACAAATGCAAATTAAATTCAGATAAATCGAGAATAACGAGTGCAAACAAAAAGAAAAGTATATAAAGAAGTGGGTTCCGATCTTCATCACAAGTATAAATGAATTTGATAACTCTTCACTCTCCACCATAAGGATACAGATAAATTACTCTTCTTACCATAATCCATCCTTAAAATCCATAAATCACCAACTTTTCAGTCTCAGCAAAAAGTCAATAAATGGTTACTGTCCGCACTTTGACTTATCTCTCTAGTCCCTGTGCCCAACTACAGCGAAATGTAAGTGTATTTACAGACTATTTAGGCAGTTGTTGAATTGTCTTTTTTTGTGAGTTTACATGTGAAGGGGTCAAGGAAACACAGCCAAGAATAACCTACATCTGACATAACTTCAAAAAGTTGCCATGGCAATGAGACACCCTATTAGTCTAGGCCACCATTTCAGGTGGAGGTTTACATAAAAGGATATTTCCCTCACAGATGTATTTCTGCTCAAAAGAAAAATTCTAGAAAGCATGCCTAATTTCTCAGAATTCTGCATTTATTCTTTGTAATAAATATTAAATATAATAAATAAAAACGAAATGTTCCCGAGTGAGTATAAACTAATCATTTTGCCTATTCTATAAAGCTAGCTTATTCAAAGCAAGCACTATTTTCAAAGTATATGGTTCAGGGATGAGTAAAACTTTTCTAAGTAGTGAGAATTCACAATGAAATCCTTGGGTTTACTTTGAAATTTATGTTGATGAGGAAGCCTAGTAGTTTTGCAAACGTCAAATCTCTCAGGCAGAGATGAGAATTAGTATGAACAGTATTCACTCTTTCAACTTACAGACAACACGAAGCTTCTTCATTAGCCACATTTAAGATGATGCTGATAGCCTGTCCCGTGTCTGGTCAAAAGAGCTGTTCTAAGTTTGCAACTCTCAGACAGGTATCCCAAGTGGGAAATACTTATGCTTTCCTTTGAGTAAAACCATCCATGGTACCAATCTGGCCTTCATCCATGTTATGCCACAGATCAAGAAAGGGTAGCCATTCTCTTGACATAAATGAGAAACTGGCACTGATTAAAACAGCAATCTCGTAAGGGGCTTTTGAGCAGTGGATGGGGAATTCTGGGAGCTGAAGTCCATATAATTTTCAGGTTGCCAAGATTGCAAATAGTACTTTGGAGTACTAGACTCTTCATGGACAGAGAAATTCAAGATAGCAACTATCAAAGTCAGATATAATTCCATCATATGAAGTGATTACTTGCATATAATCAAGGCTTATCAGCAAAGAAATTTTATCTATCACATTACACTCTGAGGTAGGCAATTCAGTCAGTTTCAGTTATGGCTTCTGAAACATAATTCACACATTAAGTTTTCCCTTCATTAGATTTGCAAAATGGGTAAGTCAAGGACTATCATTTTCCAATTCTCATCCTAAACCAGTGATGGCGAACCTATAGCATGTGTGCCAGAGGTGACACTCAGAGCCCTCTGTTGGCACGCGCACCACTGTCGCCAGCAGCAGGTCCATCAGGCCACCACCGCCACCCGGAGCAGGAGCCCCACCCAGCACAAAGAGGGCAAAGTGGCCAACTAGCAAGCTTGAGTAGAGGTGGTAGAGCAGAGGTCACCAACCATTGTCGATTGGTGGACTGGAAGAAAAGGGAGGAAGCATTTTACATTCTTACGTGGTACAGCACCTTGTATTGGCACACCGCGGCATAGTGATGGCCGTTTTTGCACCTTGCAACACTGTGGCCCATTTTTGTGCCCCCCCCCCCGGTTTTTGCGTGCCAGAGGCAGCACTCAGAGGAGCCTCCCTCCACCCGAGGGCACAACGCTGATGCGACCCTGGCACTTTGCAATAAATACGTGGGTTTTGGGTTGCGGTTTGGGCACTCATCTCTAAAAGGGTTGCCATCACTGCCCTAAACTATCCTTTAGAAAAGAGGTTCATCCTAAATTGCCTTTTCCTAACTGGATGCGCTTCTGATACGTGGGTCTGTCATCAATCCAGTTGGCGTGGAGAAGTCTGTCCTATGCCTCTGCTCCCAATCCTTGCCCAATTCCCCATCCCAGAGACTGCAGAAACACACGTGTAATGTAACAATGTCAAAATATTTTAATACGTGTCACACACGCAGTTACATTTTCATACAAAACACAACCAGAGAAAGAGCTTACTGTACAAAACATCCATTAAGACCCACTTTCCTTCAAGGGCCTTTATATAACAAAGACCAGGAGCAACAAAATGTCCCAGAGAACTCCAAACCATTGATTTGTTAACACACCTCAGCAACACTCATCATCAACACAGCCTAGCAGGATAAGAAAACTCTCCCCCCCCCCTTTTGGTCCTAAATGTCATTTGAAGATTTTTGCAACTCACAGAACATGCTCTGCATGGTAGGATAACAAGAGGTCTACTCTAATCTTTCCAAAAGTTTGCAGGTAGTGGAGAGAGAAAGGAAACTTCTGAGCAGGTGGAAACAAGCTGAAATACTTTCATGCAGAATGAGACACTGGCCACCAAGGGCGTCCAGAAAAGAAGTGTGAAGGGCAGCTGGGGGTTTGCTCCAGTCCCATCATCACGCACAACCCTTGAGGAGGACAGCACCTGGACGGGCCCCAAGCGCCTACTCCCTCAGTGTCTGAACCAAAGCTGCCCCACATTGTGTCACCGGGATCAGTGGGGGAGGAAGGTATACGTTCAGAAAGCCACAATAGCCGTACTCCAAGGGTTGAGGTTCCGCAGCACCGATCCATCGCAACAGATTTGTCCGGCCTCTGCCTTACCCGCTCCTGCGTCCTCCTTCTCTTGCCGCCTTCCTCGTTGATTGCTGCCCTCCCTCTCGCCCCCGCAGGACTTTTTGCTGAGTAGTCCCGAGAAACTGGAGCCGAAGATGCTGATGAGACTGGCCACATTGCCCGTCTCCATGTCTTCCTCTTCCTCCCTGCGGACCTTTTTCAGCGGAGAGCTCCCCGGAGACGTTTCCTCCGTCCCGCCATCTGGCTGCACAGCAGCGTTCCGCTTTCGGGAGCAGTAGAGCGCAGGAGGAGCCTCGGCCGGCCATTTGCCAGCTTCGCTCACGAAAGAGGAGCAACAGCAGCTGCAACAGCGTGGCAACCGCGGAACTTCCCTCGCAGACGACGGGAGCTTCCGGCACCACGCAGAAGTCCGGGGATCAGACGGGAAGATCGCCCGCGCCGGCGACAGAAAGGCGCGAGGAGGAGAGAAGGGCAGCGGCGGGCGCCCTCCTTCTTCCCCACCATCTCGGAGGGGATTCAGCGCAGCGGCTGCTGGCGAGGAAGAAGCAGCAGCAGCGAGAGGAGGCGAAGGTGAGCAATCGAGTTCACTCAGGTAGGCTTGTCGGGCGCTGCGCAGGACCAGCGACACGAGAAGATTTTTGTGCAATTTCACGCCGCCCCGTTGACCTCGCGCGCTGTACATCTTGCCTAGTGAGATGCTGACGATACGGTGAGCTTCCAGCTTGCACTCCATGCCGCCTTACTGCAGACAACTTACAGGGAATCAGCGGACACCCACTTCAACGAAGAGGCGAAGGAAGCCTTCCCTTAAAATATACGTTGCTCAGACACACGCGCGAAACTCGGAGGCGTTTCTCGTTTCTTAAATTAGCGAGAATAAAATCACAACATCGCCACACTGAGACACCCGCCTGCATGCCGCCGCCGCCGCCGCCGCCAAATGCAAGCCTGTTCGGGACGCGCGATTTTTATATCGCCCCTTTGCGTTCCGACCAATCAGAACACCCGGCCGTACCCGCCGTGCTTGAATCGTGTTTCCGCCAACCCCAGTGAATCTCCAGCGCGCGCCTCTTTGCGCGCTCCTATTCCCGGCCTTTGGCCAATGAGGAAGGTTGCAAAGGAAAAGGTTCCAGCGCTGGCTGGTTGTTTTTAAAAGAGCAACGCTAAACCTCGTGGGTTCTTGATTAGGCGTTGCGGTTCGCTGCTATGGGGAATTGTGGCGAAACCGGGGTTTATCTGGACACGAGTGTTCCGAGTTTTATCCTGGCGACAAAGGCAAAAATATTCGTAAATCCCGCGGCCATCGCATAGAATTCTTTAATTAAGATTTGATGCGTTGATTTGCACGTTTCTTTTTCAATTAGGCACACCGAACGTGATCCAGAGTTTGTTTACCAATAAAGCTGCGTGGATGGACGGTTGAGGACAAAACTATAATGCAGAATGATTACTGAAGAGTTTGCTACGAAGCTAGAGGAATATTCCTTTATTTCAGATACACAGTGCTGGTTACTTCTTGTTAGTCCAACCGTCAACGGTTTCCCGTCTCCCAAATTTTCGCTCTAAAGCCACCTTGTGGCAAGAAGTGGCAACTTAAAACCTTTACTCTCACTGTAACAATAGAATAATTCCTTTCTGCGGAGATTATTCAGAGGAATAATACTGGTTTTGCATCATTCTGGGAAGAGCTTATTCAAAACGTTTTGAATATATTTTGTAATACTTGGACAAGCAACATATGAATAATAAAGTTGGTTGCATTTAACAATACAGAATATATCTAGTAAAGGTCAAGAATATATGGAAATCAATAGATTCCTGATTGCTTCAGTTATTTTTGCTTGATTTCATTTTGGATTGCCTCACTTTAAGCTTGGGGGGGAGGTTGTTATAGAAGGCATGTTCCACTTACTGGAAGCTAAGTAGCAGAGCACTGGATGACTATTTTCTCCCCAATGTTATTCCAATTTCTATGGAGCCTCCAAAGCAAAATTCACAACAAACATCTCACTAAGCAAGAGAAATTATGGATTCAATTGTGGTCGTAAGTCAAGCACTACCTCTACTGTGCCCAACCTTTTCCATTACATTTAGGAAGAGGCTGTACACTCCTAGACTAGTTTCTGAATGCAGTTGTAAGTGGTGGTACTGTAGGATGTTAGTTCCAAGGACCAAGAAATCAGTGCTTTAACTTGTCCTTGATTGCAATCCTCTTTAAAGAAGTAGAAGTGGAGTTTGGAGATTATTGTCCCTAAAGAACCAAGTGCCATAGTGATAAAGAACATATTTTACTATGTTCAGCTGAATCACCAGGACAAGAATAGCTTAGCTCAAGGATCCTAGGCAGTGAAAACAGCATGCCTCTATTCAGTGCTTTTTTTCTTAAAAAAAAAAAAGTGCCGGAACTCACACACATTATACAACCCGCCCTGCCTACCCTACAAGATTCCATCCAAAAAAGGTGTCAGAATTCCGTTCTGGGCGTTCTATGAGAAAAAATGCCCTGTCTCTATTATTATCATGTATACTGGATGATGCTGTCCTTATATTTAGTCTGCAAAGCATAGTTAGGGCAAAATGCAGCATCAATATACTGAAGCAATGTGATAAAATAGAATTTCATATCAATTTTGTATATTGTCTAGGGAAGCACTTCATGACTATTATACATACATACTCATAAACAAGATTTTTTTTATTGAAAATTTTTATAAACATTTTACAATAAAATATCCCCCCTCCCACCCCATAACCCTCCCCCCTCCTTCCCAGAGCTGAATACAGGGTTAAAGAAAGAGAAAAAAAAACATACAAATTAAATGAACATCAATCCACTATACATACATCCCAAAAAAATTTAAAGTACTTTAACTCCAATACATAAAAACTACAAATCCAACCATACCAAGTTTAAACTATAAATTATTCAAAAGCTAAATAATACTTCCTAATCCCATATTTAATCTGTACAAAATTTACCCATCTTTTCCACACTGAAGTATATCTCTCTTGTGAATGGTCTTTCAGATAAGCAGAAATTTTTGCCATTTCTGATAAATGAGAAACTTTGAGAAACCATTCTTCTATAGTAGGCAAGGAATCCTTCTTCCAATATTGCCCAATCAGCAACCTTGCCGCCGTAATAAAATTTAACATTAAGATAATCTCTTTACCATCACAGTCTACAATAATACCTAACAAAAATAATTGTGGTGTAAATTTTATCCTTCTATTAAAAATCTTCTGAATGTTCAACCAAATCTTAATCCAAAAAGCCTTTACATTTCTACATGACCACCAAATATGATAGTATGTTGCATCCAGACAACCACATCTCCCAACATTTGGGCTGTACATTCGGATACATACGAGACAACTTTTGTGGATCAAGGTGCCACCTATAAAACATTTTATAAAAATTTTCTCGTAAATTTTGAGCTTGAGTAAATTTAACATTCCTCACCCAAATTATCTCCCATGTATCTAATAAAATCGTCTCTTCAAAATTCTGAGCCCATTTAACCATACAATCTTTAACTAATTCTGTTTCTGAATCCAATTCCACTAAAGCAGTGGTTCTCAACCTGTGGGTCGGGACCCCATTTGGGGTCGAATGACCATTTCACGGGGGTCGCCAAACAAGGCTGTCCGCCATTTTTTCCCCCTTTTCTTTGGCTACGCCCTTGGTACCCGGTGATGTATAAGTGGTTGGGGGTCACCACAACATGGGGAACTGTATTATGGGGTCGTGGCATTAGAAAGGTTGAGAACCACTGCACTAAAGCATTATAAACTCTTTTTATATGAGTTCTACTTTGATCTTTAATTTGTTTCATCAAATTCACATCTTCCGTAGCAAAACCCACTTTTTGATCTATACTCCATCTTTCTAATAATTGCCTATACTGGAACCAAGAATAAATAATATTTTCTTGCATTAATTCCTCCATAGATTTTAATTGCCAATTATTCCCTTCCCACTTAAGCAATTGTTTATAAGAAATCCTATCCATTTTCACTCCTTTCCTTATCCCCTCTATTGCGTGTCCAGGAATTCCCCACAACGGTATTCTGAAATTTAATCTATAGTATTTCTTCCAGACATGCAATAAAGCAATTCTTAAAACATGGGACTTAAAAACCCTATCCACCTTTTTATTATAAACTAAATACGCATGCCACTCATAAACAAGATTGATAAAGTTTCCCAGTTTAAGTAATAAAGCAAACAATGTGTCAATGACTTAATGGACTTTACACCCAAACTCCCTCACAAAAGCCAGATTTTAATCTATTTTTAAAAAGTGGTCTTAAGAAGAATTTCTGCCTTTATCTGTAGTCGAGTTTCACTGAAATCATTTAACTATTTTTTCTTATTAAATAAATATTCCAATGCCATCTATAAAGTGCAACCTATCTGCTTGCTGTCCAAATAATTCATTGCAAAAAACCTGTATGTATTTACCTAGAGCAGTGGTGGCGAACCTATGGCACGGGTGCCAAAGGGGGCATTCGGAGCCCTCTCTGTGGGCACACGTGCCGTTGCCCCAGTCTTGCCTCCGCCCGTGACCCCCTCCTCACCAGCAACCCCCTGGAGGAGAGTCACCCCTGAGCGTGGCCCATGCAGAGCAGCTCAGCCAAGGACATGGCAGCCAGGCAGCGTAGACAAGACTCTGCCCTCATGTCCCAACGCACACAGTTGATACTGCAGGGCGCGGGCAGAGGGCGTGGCTGCCATGGCACTGCTGGACTGCCTGGGTGATTTGCAGCGGGCCCTGGAGGTGGTGAGTGGCCCTGCGGGCAGGCAGGGTAAGGCAGTGGGGGCGGGGCAGGGAATGGGGCAGGGGCGGGGCCAGTTTTTGGGCACTCGGTCTCTAAAAGGTTCGCCATCACTGACCTAGAGGTTCAGTGGCAATTAAATCCAAATATGTGAGCATAGAATTACACTTTAAATGGAGTTCAGTATTTGTCTTGCTGACCAATACCACATTTCCTCACATACCTTGTTTTTTTAGCCACAACATTGATTTATTTTTCTAGTCGGATTTTATTTCTGATTTGACAAATGTACATAAACAACAGTAGTGAAGCTGGACATAATTTGAAAATAAGAACATACTTGAACTCACTTCTGAGAAGAAATGCCACCTTAAGTTATTTATAAAAATAACATTCATTTTCAAGCTTCCATTTAAATCCCTTCACTCACGCTCAGAAGAATAATCATAAAGGGATACCAGGCTAGAAAGCAGAAGACTGTAAGTTCTAGTTTTGCTTTAGTCACGAAAGCTGGGTTCCTTTAGGTTAGTCATTCTCTCTCTCAGTTTCATCCACTTCACAGGGTTGTTGTGGAGAAAACAGAAGGAGGAAGGAGTATTAGGTGTGTTCACTACTTACGTTAGTTATAAAAATAATAAAGGTGAGATAAAAATCTAATACGTTTCACTGGATTCATGACTTAGGGAAGGCAGTAGAGAATTGCACTGTTGATCGGTTAGGAAAGACTATTTCTCCCTAACTGTTGCTGGTACAGATGTCTGCATTCTTAATAGTTCAAAATAAACACAAGCCATGAGAAATGTTTATTTTAAGGCACAAGAATCCTTTTCCCAAACCAGATTCTGGATTCTTTGCATTAAACAGAGCTAGACCCTTTCTCAAGAAAGCATGGAAATACTATAAGCCATCATGATATTTTCTACCTATAAAAAAACAAAACCAATTCACTAAGAAAACTGAATAGAATTTTTTCTATTAATATAGTCTATAAGATAAATAAACTTAATGGGAAAATGTAATGACAGAATATGCTGGATAACATCAAATGTATCCAAGCTGCTTTTCTATATGTACTGTATGTATCTAAAAAAAAATAAAAATAAGCATATTAGTAATCAAGAAACAAATTCCATGAAAATGGCAAAAAGGCAGTGGTGGGATTCAGCTGGTTAGTACCAGTTCGGCAGAACCGGTAGCTATTTTTTTGTTGCCCAGGCCCAGAACGGATTTCTGGAAGCGGCATCCACACAGAGAACTGGTTGTTCACATATTTGAATTCCACCACTGCAAAAAGGTAACAGGTAACATTGAAAAGGCAGTATCACTATCACTAAAAGATTTCAAATCATGGGAACGAATATTTCACTTTATTCTATAGTGGTCAGACTGCATCACAAGTGTTGTGTCCAGCAAGGAGCTCCATATGGTAATAAAAATTCAGACAAACATGAATAGGTGCAAATAATGACAACGAAGATGATTAGGGGACTGAAAACATTTTGCAAGAAGACAGTGAGCTAAGTTGTTAACTTTAGCTTTGAGAAAAGACAACTCACAAGGTACACAGTAGCTCTTTCCAAGTACCTGAAAGAATATGATACAGATGATCAACATCTGTTCTCTTTCCTTCCATTGTGCAGGACTCAGAATAATGGTCTTTAAGTTATAGAAGATGGATGTTGGTTGACTATTAGGAACACTTCTAATTAACAAGAACAGCTAAACATTGGGTCCAATTATTGAAAAGAGAGGTGAGTTCACTGGTTATGTTCAAACAGAGAATGGAAAAACATCTATCAGGGATACTTTCATTTGGATTCCGTATGCACCAGAGGTTAGACAGAAAGGCTCAATTACTATGCTCTTCCAGCTTTGCTATTCTTTTCTTCTTAATAAATATGCCTAAGAATGCATTACAGTATAGGAAAAAATGTTAATAGTGGAATCCAACAGTCAAAAACAAAACAAAATGCAAAAACTCTGCTTGACATATATATGCAAAGTTCAACCACTAGAACCTGTAGAAAGGCTTAGCTGCTTTAAGGAGTTACTCCCACAGTCCCCACATATGTAAGTTTCTGCTTCTTGTTCACCCCATCATTGTAACAATCAGCCTTGTTTTCTAAGACTAAGGGACAATAGGCAAACAATGATGTATGTCCATGTTGCACAGGGTCCAGATCCTGAAATTCCCTCCTGGCATCTCGAAGGAACTATGCTGAATATCTGACAGACATGAAGTGCTCTAAACAGTTGGAGAAAGTAATAAAAAGAGAAGATAAATATTGCAGAAAACAGGCTGTGACATTACCCTTTTAAGAACACAGATGTTTTTTTCTAGATCCCTCTCCTCTCCCCTGTGATTTCATCCTCCTCCTTCCTTCTCCCCCCCACCTTCCCAGACTGATGTAATTCTTTAGTAAATTTCAAACAGAGGCAGTCAGTCACATGGCTGCTTGTGAGGCCAACTGCCTCTTAGGCAGCTGCATTGCCTTCCCACTTTCTTGCCCCTGTGTGAGAGCGACAACCTGCTTTGATTTCCAGGGTGTGCACGAAAGGGTTGTGGTTGCAGGCACACATGTGCCAGTGTTGCTCTTAAACAGTGGCTATGATTGGTTATAGACTATTTTTGTCTCTGTACCACAATTGGTTAAGATGGCTTATCACACACACAGACCCCCAGGGGAATGTTGGAGACGAGTAATCAGACTCAGACTGCTACCGTAATGTCATATTCTTCTTTTTCTGGTTGCTTGTTTTAGTCTATGAGGTCTCTCTGGATGCCTCTATTTTCCCATAAAAATGGCCCCACCTACCACCCTTGCTCAGCTGGGGTCACAGAGCAACACAGAGAGGGGGAATAGGCTGTGAGAAAGGATGTACATGTGTGTTAATCTCGCTGGTCTGGAAAGATTTGACAAATCTCTCCAGCAGCTCAGCTGCTCATTCCGAAGACAGCTCCTTGGCAGAGGGAGGAAAGCTGACAAGAGGTGGCTTTTATGTATTCATTTTCAATTCCATTTGATTTTTAGGGGGTGACTGCAGAACAGGTGATGATGGAGAAGGGAAACCTTTTCACAGATGGGCTACATCAAATCTGCAGGGAACCATTCCCTGTTAGGAAGGGAAAACAGACAGCCCTGCAAAAAACAGGGAACAGGAAACAGCTTGTGAAAGCCATTTACAATTGTCAAAGGTGTGCCTGCTGCCCATGAATGATTTGTTGTTCTGAGTTTATATTTATCAGACACTGGAAAAGCCCTGAGTGTAACTATTGGGGAGTGGGTATGGCTTGGTAGGACTGTGCAGCATCATATCCTGGCTGCTCAATAACCAAAATTCACAGATAAAGCCTGTGAATTCATGCAAATGGGTAGATGCAAACTATAATTCAAGATGGGCAGTTCTATTCAGCAATGTGTTGAGTGCTTTATATACAAAGCTTCCAAAATACTGTACTTACGCTGTTAGGACTAGATTTAAATTCCCACACTGATGGACCAAAAAGATACTGTTCCATCTACTTACAAATCAAACTTACAGGATTAAGGAGGTCGTGTCTCTTGAGTTGAGATGGTTACTTTGGCCACAATACATAAATGGCTTGACATACCTTCTGGGTATCTTTTTGATTTCCCTGTCTAGCCCACTATGTTGATATTTTCTTAGTAGTCTCTGTCACACCTACACTCAATTTGGTGGGCTCAAGGTTGGCCATGGCCAGCCCACTTTCTCACACTTTTCAGACTGGACCCTAATTGAGCTTGCTGAGATCAACCAAAGTTGGCTAAGTGCTGCTACGAAGATACAAAGGGTGATTATAAGAGTCTTGTAAGAACAAATTTTAAGTAGCCCTCCCAATGAGAGTGAGGATGGAGAGGAGGGCCATCACTGGCCAAAATGGCTTAGAATTCTAGGATTTCACATGGAGGGCTACTTCCTTAATCTAAATTGGCCCCTCCCAAATATTTGTCCCTTTGAGACATATGCACATATCTGTCCTGCCAGAAAGTCCCAGTTACTTATTCATTTCTACTTAAATGGAGTAAAGTAAATGTTTTGCAATATTAGCAATGCTCTGCCATAGTTTAAAAAACAGCTTTGGGATGGATAAGATGCCACTCCATTATATCCAGTCTTCTTAAATGTGGTTGGATTATTTTTGGTGGACAAAGATCTTCTACAAGATACAGTATGAAATTCACTGTTAATTTAAGTTTTTTTAAAAAAAGATTAAGCTGCTTTGGATTTTTGAAGCTATTTTGCCTGGATGATTGTCAGATTTGCATATATTCTTAAATCCATTCCACCTTGTTTCCACCTCTAGCTGCAAACGTTTATTGTTTTAAAAAAGATACTCAAAGACTGCATTAAGATAACAAAATACATATTTTATCATAAAATACACATTTTTATTAGGGTGAGCCTTAAACATGAATTTTTGTATGCCATTTTGCATTCTCTTCCATATATTAATCAAGGAAACATAAATCTAATCAATCTACTTAACAATGTATCCTAAATGAATTATTGAAGTTCTACACTCATAATAGCAACATGAAACTTCTATCTGTAGAAGTATTCTCTCACTGTTTACTAAAGCAGGGAGCAACATTATTTCTTACTTTTTTGCATTTTTCAGAGGCCTTTTCTTGGCTGCTGTCGATGGCAGAATATTCTACTAGAGCACCTAACAGTTGAGCAGAATAAAAATATTATGTCTGCAAGGGTTCACTCTTGCATTAAGATATCACGTTCTATTAGGACTAGAGCAGTGGTGGCGAACCTATGGCACAGGTGCCAGAAGCGGCACTAGAGCCCTCTCTGTGGACACGCGCACCGTCGCCCCAGTCCTAGGCCTTCAGCTGGGTTTTATAAAACCTTTCCGCTTTAGGCCTTCGCCGCCATGTGCAAAAAAAAAAAAAAAGGTTCAAGCAGTCAATTTTAACTTCTCACGGGAAAAAAAAGATCTTGCAAAGTTGGAATTGTGTCAGAATCCAATTATATTTCATCTTTAATTATCAAATATAGAAACTCCCAATTCTGCCTTCTCTGGATTCTGCCATAAGAGGGAGAGAAGGGGGAGAACAAAGGGGCTTTATGGCCCTCACTTCCTTCAGTATACTTCTAAGGAGCTGAATGCTGAATGTGTGTGTATTGTAACCTCAAAGCGTTAGCACCAAAGAACCTTACCATAACAAAGAAGGGTATTTGCCTTTCATGTAGTTTATCTGAAGTCTCCATCCAGACGGAAGAAAGAAAAAAGGGGGTGGAATTGTGATACCTGAAACTATCACTGGAAGGGGGTTTGATTGGGTGGGACTACTGGGGAACCCCTTAAAACCTTGAATGGGAGGGCTTGGACCCCAAGTCCTGTCTAGCACACCTGCAACCACTTCTTCTTAATAAAGGATTCCTGCTGGAAGAATTATTCCAAGAGTTCTGTCTTCTTAAGATGCAAAGTGGGGTGGGTCCTTACATTAGACAGGACTTGCAAAATTAATCCACCTGGAAGGGAGACCCTTGCCGGGGGATTTTGCAAAAAATTTACAATGTCAGACACTGGAGCAAGAGAGGGGGAAAACTCCCTGGAAAGAGAGCCGCTGACCCAGTTGGAACCTTGCCAGATGTTGGGAGCCGAGAGGTCAGATTCCTCAGGGGAAGAAGTGGTGGAGACACGGGACCACAAGCCTCGCTGGTCAATGGGCGTTGGAAAGAAAAGTGAGTGGGGAAAGGAATCAAGAAAGGTGATCCTGAGACAGGGGACCAAGCAACCAGAATGGAAGCAGGAGATGGAGAAATCCCTGCACGCAAGTGAAGAGGGAGGAAGCTGGGCACCGTACTCAGACTGGATCCTAGAGAAAGCTATTGACCTGATGAAGAGAACTCTCAGCTCCCTAGGAGAGGAGAATCCTGAACCCTACGGCCACCCCAGCTCCTGGAGCCACAAAGGGAGAGACACCGAGGGGGACGTGGAACCTGCAACCCCAGGGACATCTACTGATCCAGGAGCCCCCACCCCCTACCGGACCACAGATGGCAATCTGGACGGACGACACTACCACCCACAACGGAGGCACCGATCCATTCCAAGACGTCCACCGTTGGAGGTGAAATTCAAAGGGGAGCCAACACGCTTGGGGTTTTTCCTAACCCAAGTCCTCAGCTACATGGAGGAATACGGGCAGGACATTCCCAGCGACAAAGCCCGTATCCGGATCGTGCAATCTGCCCTGGATGGACCGGCTGCAGATTGGGTGGTGAACTTGCATGACTCCAATGCCTCAGAACTCAGTAACTTCAACCGTTTCATGTCCTCTTTGAGAAGACGATTTGAAGACCCCCTGGCAGATCGCAAAGCCCGTGAAAGGATAAAAACGATGAGGCAAGGCAAACGCCCGGTGGCTGAATATACACAAGAATTCCGGGCCATTGCCAGCAAACTGAATTGGCCAGAAGACATCCTCCTTAGCCATTTCAAAGACGGACTAAACTATGATCTATATGACGCTTGCCTGCCCCGAGGGGAGCCACATCGACTTGAGGAATGGTACGTCTTGGCAGAGGAAGCAGAGATCGACATATTGAAGAGGCACCGCCGAGGAAAACAATGGAGCCGCCCCCCGCCTGAGCTGACGCACGAACCGGTGAAATCATCGGCTACAGCCAAGAAGCAAATGGAGTGTTTCAAGTGTGGAAGAGAAGGGCATCGAGCTGTAGAATGCCGCTCAAAGGCCCCCCAGCACAACCCAGACAGATCCCCAATCAACCAATCTGGAAAGTCTTCAGCTAAGCCAAAAGAAACGGCCATGAGAATGATGGAAATTGCAGAACCCCCCCACCTCTGCTCACCAAGGGGAAAGAACTCCAGCCTACACCACAGGGCCGGTGGATGCCTCAGATGACAGCTCGGAGGGCGAACCCCTGGTAAGTGGATGCATCACACCCATCTTCAAATCAGTGACTATATTAATCCCCCCCATGCCCGAAGCTATGAAGGTGAAAGCCTTAATAGACTCTGGCTGCACCCGCTGCCTCATTAGCCCAACACTAGTGGGGAATCTGGGCATCCCATCCAGGAGACTGGAACAACCAATCTCATTTGGCCAGTTAGATGGATCCATAGCAGGGGGGGTGCCAGCTACCCTAGCCACTCTACCAATACACCTCTCCCTGGGCGAACATGAAGAGGACATAACGTTTGTGGTGACCCCAGGTATGGAATGCCCAATGATTCTAGGGATG